CATCGTGGAAGACAGAATAACCTCGTCATTCAGTAGATAGTCAGCTGCCCCCACAGGCTTGTGGTAAATGGTAAATGGCCTGTATTTGATATAGTGTCTTCTAGAGTCCTGGAATCCCCCAAGGCACTTTACAACACAATCAGTCATTCACCCATTCACACACACATTCACACGCTGGTGGGGATGAGCTACGATGTCGCCACAGCTGCCCTGGGGCGCACTGACAGAGGCGATGGCGCCACCGGTCCCTTCGACCACCACCAGCAGGAAAGGGGGGTTAAGTGTTTTCCTTCCGATTACGGGCGAGAACCTAACTCGTGTGCCACCATCGCCCCCCTGTACAGTAGGCACTAAGCATGATGGGTACACCACTTCATCTGCCTCTCTTCTTACCCTGATGCACCCATCCCTCTGGAACAGGGTTCATCTGGACTCATCAGACCAGTTTATCGTGTTGCGTTGGACAGTTCTTAACCCAGTTTTTAGTCGTTTCTACAGTCTCCCTAGATGTTTTTCACTGCTAGATCCATGCCAATGAGCTGAAACGTCTCGAACGAACTATTTTTCTACTTTTCACTAAAACAATGGATTTAAACCCTTCTAACTTATTTTATTCTTTAATGTTGTGCAGCTCATCTTCATCTTCCTGCACATAATAAAAAATGTATTATTTCACTGTTACTATTGCTTACACTCAATTCTGCTGCTGCTAACAGAACTTGAAATAATAACTGCCACAAATGCAGTAATAGTCACGGGGGGCCCTCTTAAACATTAGTGTTCGTGCAGAGTTGAAAAATGTGTGTGTGTGTGTGTGTGTGTGTGTGTGTGTGTGTGTGTGTGTGTGTGTGTGTGTGTGTGTGTGTGTGTGTGTGTGTGTGTGTGTGTGTGTGTGTGTGTGTGTGTGTGTGTGTGTGTGTGTGTGTGTGCTGAGACAACCTGAGGCCTGTGCCTGTGTGCGAGAGCTAATTCAGAGCCGCTAATGACTGCCTTCCCGTGAGCTTAATCAAAGATTTGTACATTTAATTGCTGTCAAGTCAGCACTCACCACCTGCCACTGCTCGCCACACGTGTTCACCCCCTCGCTGGGAGCATTTCCAGCTCCATCTATCATCCGTGGCTGAAGGCTGAGACAACACAGCCTGCTGGGCAACCTGTACTCAGCCATCCAGCAGGGCCCAGCCAGGCCTGCGCAGCATGGACTCAGAGAGCTAGCTCCGCTTGAAGGGAGGGCCGTCAGCACCTGGGCCTTACAGTTCCAAACTATTCCCGGCTTAATCAAAAACAGATTTGTCTAAAAAGGAGTGAATGAAGTCCAGCGAGGCGTGTGTTTTTGTTTTCATATCTCAGAGAGGCATTCACACGACCGGGTGCAACCTGGTCGCAACATGAGCCGCGTATCAAAGCAGAGCCTCGTCAAGTCTCACACTTTTACTCTGTATGAGAGAGCCGGAGGTCCGCTTCATCCCTCGGTGCGGCCCGGGGAGGAAATGTGGGCCTGATCTGTTATCAATCTGCTTGTTTTCCCAGCTGATGCCTACAGGGCTGCTGTACAGCCACGCATGTGACCTCCAAAGCCTCACACACCTTTGAGTTTGTGGGAGTGTGACAGCATGAATGACAGATGTCCGTAGTCCCCAGAGGCTTGTGCCACCCAGAGTGCAGCATCAGACACAGGAAGCACATATCTGTAATTCTGTGAAGATGCAAACTTTCATCTTTATGCTCATTCTGTGCAAAATTTAAAAAAAAATAATAAACTGGTTATTATTTATCCAGTAATTCACCTGCAAATCAATCAAATTAGCACATGAATATTGGCTTTAAGTCATGGATGAGTCAACCACTAATAACATTATTCCACCAAACATGAATTTTAATTATCACCCGGCTGTCGTTATTGGCTTGACACGTTAGAAGTCAGATTTGTGCTGCTGCTGGAACAGACATTGAACTGGTTTTCCTACAAGACGAAGGAGCTCAGGTGTTACACTTAATCCGGCGGCGGTACACTCATCCCTGAAAGTTGACTAATTATCCCACACAAGGCTGCAGGCTAGACGGAGGAAAACAGGCCCAACTCGTAGGGTGGGATTCAATTTTACTGTACGCTGGCAAGCCCGGACACGGCTTTCTGTGGCCCGGCATCTCATGGGGCATGAGAGCTTTAGGCGTAGTGTGATCCAAACCTGCTCCTGGGGGAGCGTGTGTCTGTGAGCAGGTGGAAGGCTTCAGCACACTTTTTTTTTTTTTGTGATTCCCTGAGCTCATTAGAGCCACAAAAATTTCACTAAAGAAAGTTAATTAGGCCTCCCAACGTGACTTTTTTAATTCTTCCAATCAACAGACTTGAAACTGTGGAGTTTCTGATGTTTGACTAAAGAAGTGAGCTCTGCGGCTGTAGAGCCACCTTTCTGCTCAGATCAGATCTGAAAGTGCTTCGACCGGCCGAAGAACAAGCAGACGTTGACATGAGGGAATTTCCAACCGTCTGCTCCTGTTAATGAGTAGTTTAGCCTGGCTGAATTTCCAGTTTGGGTGTCCAGCGGAAACTGTTCTCCATCATCCTCACGTAGGAAACAAACCTCGAGCTTTGATGGTTGGAGCAAAGGAAAGGGTGGCCACAACTTCAAACACTAAAACCCTGAATATGCTGCAACAGAAATAGACTTAATGCTCATTTTACATGATAACAATAATTAGATTTTACTGTTTTTAAAATCTAATTCATCTTGTGCCCCCATAAAAGGGACATTTTACCCTCTGGAGATGTGTTTTACTTGTAAAGACTTTACCTTTATCTTACCCATTTGTAGAAAGTTTCCTGAATGGCCTCAGTTTGGAGAAAAAGCATTTACGTCCCATGAGATTGAGAAAGCCACTTACAACCTTAAAAGTGTCCTAATGGAGTATCAGGATTATCACCTTCTTCATAAACCTGCCAGTCGTGCACATGTCTGGTGCACCCAGTGGAGCATCTACAGATGATGCTAAAACATAAAAAGCTGATGATTATATAGTTACTATGTTGACATTATAGCCAATAAACAGTCCAGTTTTAAGTTTCAAAGGAGACGTATGACTTTTTTCTTAAGTCACAATAGTTCTATGGTCTATAAAATACATGTTTACGAAGTTCTTTGCCTAGAATCCATCTCATGTAAAGCAAACTCAGCAGTTTTATTCACGACAGTTTCAGTAACTTCCAGAAAAGCCGTTTCAGGGCTCTGTCACTTTGAGTAAAAAGTGCAGGTTAGCCTAGCCGCACTCCACTAGAGCCTCAGCAGACCCGGGCAGTTTTGTGTCTTGCATATCGCAATGCTCTGTTGGTTTGTTGGGCCAATCACAGCGCTTTGTCGAGATATGTGACAGAGCAAAAAACAAAGATGGCGGCGACTCGTTTGAAGTGGGTTTGGCATCAACTTGGACTGTTTAGATTTGGGCTTTTCTTTGAGTCAAGAGCAGATAAAGGTACTTAAGTTCTGTTTTTTTTCTTTTTTTAGAAAAAATATGTATTTGCATCTTTTTGACAGTGTATGGCAGGCTGCCTAGTTGATTGATATCTGTAGTGAAAAGGTGCTTAACAAAAACAAAAATATATATACGAATATAAAAAAGGTTTAAAACAATTATTAAAACATGTTTAAAATGAAAAGATAAAATACAATTTGTGATTAAAAAATTTTAAGGAAGGGAAGAGAGAAAATTAATAGGAAAGTGGGAAATCTGTGGATCCCGGGAAAGGCGGAATAAGAGCAGAACAAGGAGAGGATGGTGAAGAAGGTCATACAAAAGCCAGCTTGAACAGGTGAGTTTTCAGCTGCTCTATAAAGGAGACCACTGAGTCCACTGATCTCAGCTCAGGAACAGAGAGCTTCAGAGTCTGGGGCCACAGCAGCAAGTGATCTGTCAGTGGTGAGTATGTCACGCTGTCCGTTGTCCAAAAGCGTGCAGAAATGGTTTGAAAGACAACCATGGATTCTGCCCCATGACTGAGCTTTGCCAGTGAGTCGTGGCCAGACTTCAATCTTATATACGATGGCTTGCCAGGCTAATAAGATCATGGAGATTGGAGCAAGTTTAAGCCTTTAGCTCATCAGTCATGTCCAATGCAGATTTGATTTTTCCAGACTGAGCCCACTGGTTTTCTCTAGATCTTCTTACTTCCACCCACAGACCAAAAACATGCATATTATGTTACTGGGTTACTCCAAGCGGTTGTGAATGTGGAATTGGGAATTGTCTCACTGGTGTGATTGTCCGAGTTGACCCAATCACCTCAGTGACAGACCCCTGTTTCGTGTGGCACATTAGCAAGGAAACTCATGTTAAAGACTGACTGTAGAAGAAGAAGAAGAAGAAGAAGAATAAATCTTTTTATAGCGCCTCTCAAGATAAAAATAATGAGGCGCTTCACAAAAACAAAATGTAAAATATCAAAAATAATTTAGAAAATGGTTAAAAATATATTTAAAATGAGCAAAAATAGACAATTGTGATTAAAAATGTAAAGAAAGAGAGAGAGAGTGAATAGGAAAGAAGGAAATCAGTGGATCCTGAGGAAGGTGGAATAGGTGGGGAGAGCAGAATAAAGAGAGAGTGGTGAAGAAGGTCATACAAAAGCCAGCTTGAACAAGTGAGTCTTCAGCTGCTTTTTAAGGGAGACCACTGAGTCCACCGATCTCAGGCTCAGGGGGCCAGAGTGTGGCCGCTCCTTATGGAACAAAAAAACAAACAAACAACAGAGTTTATAATCTCTCATAACGTGACAGCGGGTTCCAGAGTCTGGGGGCCACAGCAGCAAATCTCTCTTCGCTCTCCTTCGCAAAGAAAAGCGAAGGAGAGCGAAGAGAGAATCATTTCATGGTATTTTAGAAAAACTAAGAGTTTATCCTTCATTTTTATGGCTGTTTTTATTAGACATTTTTATGTCTGTGGCAGAAAAATAAAATAGAAAAAGAAAGAAAACAATCTTTTCTATAGCGATTCTCAAGATAAAAATCACGAGGCGCTTCACAAAAAACAAAAAATTTAAAACAGAAAAAAGATTTTAAAAAATTATCAAAAAATATGTTTAAAACGACAAAAAAAGTGATTAAAAATGTAAGTAAAAAGAGAGAGACAATGAATAGGAAAGAGGGAAATCTGTGGCCACTTTACATATGGCTTATATTAACAGTATAGAACATGATGACTTGGTGTTGCTTCATCGTTCAGCTCAACCTGGAGGAAAACGAGTCGGGTCAACAGCGTTCATGGTTGCGCCAGCTGAACGAAGGCCTCGACCATATGGCCGCTCCTTAGGGAACAAAAACAACAGAGTTTATAATCTCTCATAACGTGACAGCAGATGCAAAGTGAGTGGCCTTTTTCACTGACTCACATATTTGGGCCACCCACATATGAGAACACCAAGCAAAGATCACGCACCGTCTCCACGACAACCGTACCTTTAAAATAACTTTTTTTTTTCACCTGCTGGAGTATTTTTTTGTTCTACTCATGTATAATTTAACCTGATGACTATTGATAAGGACAACCAATGAAGTGAGATGGAAATAAGACAAAAAGCCTCTGAAAACCAGCTGTTGAACCAAACACAACATTAATCCTCAGAAATCCCAACACAAGTGGAAAAGTGCTTTCTGAAAGCTTGATCCCTCATTTCTTTGGGATTTATCTCACTTCCTAACACCATTTCCTATTTCAGGTCAAACGCAGCTTCCTACGTTGGATCAATCCGGAGAAAATCATCTGTTGGATCCAAGATACCATTTAAGAGAAAGTCAAGACCTTTGGACGTATGAATGAGAGGAAATAGCTGTAGAGTTCACCCGCCAAGCCTTTCTCTGCTGCTGCTGCGAGCTCAGGTTAAATTCCAGAACGTGTTTTCTTTGAGCGGATTTGATTCGCTTCCTAGATTTGAAAGTGACCCTCCAACTCCCCCCGTCGTGAAAACACGGCCAGTTCTGGACCCGGCCCCAGCACCCGGCTTGTTGGGACAGCTGCTCAGATGGTTTGGGCCCTCTGCAGGTCCGCTGATTCATTTTCTGAGTCAACACCACAAACTTGAGCTTCAGCTTCGACGCAGCCATGATTCACGGGCAGATTTGTAAACGATTACTTAGATTTATGTGTTTCTAACGAGACCCGTGGAAAATGGTTTTCCAAAAATTGAACGCTGCAGTTTAATGTCAGGAAATTAGGATTTAACAAATTATTTTACAAATAAAGAGATTAATTTAGCAAGTGAAATGGATATTTCTGACGGCAGCTACATCTCCTGGTCAACCAACAAGTTATTTATGCAATATTTAATTTCTTGATATAAAAACTTTGCTATACATAGTGTTTATGCAAATGACTCCTAACATCTGTACTTTTTAAAAAACACAGATCAGTAAATAGTAGGTGTTTGTATTGGCATGAAACTGGTGATGTGATATATATCACAATATAAGAGAAAAGACACGAAGTATTGTGATTTATATATATATATATATATATATATATATATATATATATATGTATATGTACAGTACATGTATATATGTACATATATATATATGTATATATATATATACATACATACATATATAAATATACATACATACATATATAAATATATATATATATATATATATATATATATATATATATATATATATATATATATATGTACAGTACATGTCTATATGTACATATATATATGTATATATATATGTATGTATATATATACATACATACATATATAAATATACATATATATACATATATATATATACATATATATACATATATATATATATATATATATACATATATATACATATATATATATATATATATATATACATATATATACATATATATATATATATATATATATATATATATATATATATATATATATATATATACACACACAAAAAAGCTGAGCTTGGACCTAATCGGTGTTGTGACCAGATCTCTTTATTTTATCAAAATGACGGCGGTAAAAACTGCTGCCGCCTAAGTGTTGCAGTTTGAGTTGCGCCACACAAGATAAAGAGTAAATGTCTGCATGAAAATTCAAAATAACATATCTATACACTCCTTTAAAGAATTGATTCAGTATCATAACATGAAATAGTGATATCTTAGTGTATCATTATTTCTTACATCTCTAATAATTGGGGATGTCTGGTGTTATGGGACTATATTGGCATTAATATGTAAAAAAATGGAAATTATCTGTATCGGCCTTAACGACAGTCGATATTGAACATTTCTAAATATGAGTCATTTATTCACTATAAAACAGATTAGAATTCCTCTAATGCTGCGAAGATAGAACAGCTGCCATATTTTCACACAGCCTATTCCTCCTGGTTGTTTTGTTTTTGCGGTTGAAATCTTTTACTCCATACACGACTTTACTACACATGGAAACAAAATGACTTTGCGGAACCATAGTGGGAGGAAAACACTCCTTTTTCTGAGACGAGGCATTACCAGCAAGGATCCCAGTCACACCCATACGACTGGAACCAAAGGGCAAAAGCATTCAGTGTGGCTGATCTGGTTCGGTCTGGTTCTGATCCTGCCCGGTTCACAGCCGGGACCTCCCTTTACCGGTCTTGCGTGTAGAATTTGTGTGGGCAGGAATGGATTAAGGATGTCAGGGCCCCTCCCAGTCTGCGTAAAACAGCCACTAATCACCGACCCACCTTCTTCAGACTACGCCGAGCTCTCTACTCATGCTAAATATTATTGTTGTGAGTTGTAGGTCTCGTGACTCATGTCTTCCACGGACATCCATCTCATTCAGGCGCTACAAAGGGAAGGAGTGGCTTCTGCTGACACACATTCCCACACATTTCTTCATCCACTCTTGTGCAATAGCAGCTTTTAGTGTCAGGAATCAACTTTCCGAAGACTCGTTATGTTCGTTGACCTAAGAATGTGTCACCAGGTCAGACCTGTTAACGCTCAAAGCTGTGATGTTTGATGATTTTGACAGGTCATGGCAAGCAGTTAGGGAAAACCAAGCGGCAAAAAGAAGTGATGACAAAGAAAAAGGGATGAAGCTCCTTCTGGCTCCTGCCTCAAATTGAATTTGAACATTTAGTCCATCACCAACATAGATGTCCTTCTCGGACCTGTAAGTCCTCCCCAGAGTCCAGGAGAAGCCAACAGCTTGACGCTTTCAGCGCATTAAAAAGGTGTGAAATGGGAGTTTTTAAAATCTTAGCAGTGCGAAGAGCAGCGATGATTCACCCACAACCGACTGCCAAGTTAAAAGCTAAATGATCCGGTAAGCTCTTGTCATTTTCTGTGCTAGGACAGTAAAAATAACATTCCACTGCCAGAGCCATTTCTCTTGATCTGCTGTCAGGGGAGAGTTTGACATAATGCTCTTGTGTTTGCATGTGCTGCTGTAATTCTCCCACCGGCTTAGCTCTGGGAGTGTGTGAGAGTGTGTGAGAGTGTTTGAGCGCACACGGTAGGGAGCCAGCACACAGGCTCGCTTCACGTGGTTCTAAAGGTGAAGGGCCATTAGGGGAAAGGTGAGTGTGGGACTGCTGCTTTGGGTTATTCTGGAACTGTGCTTTTGTTCATTATTATCAATATTATTATTAATGTCCAATCAGCAAACACGTTTCAATCGCAGACAAAGATAACCTGAGTGAATACAAATTGCAGTTGTCGAATGATGATTTCATATCACAAGCATCCGACCAACCTGGCCCCAGGTGAAAAGGTGATTACCCTCCTTGTTAGATCGTAAATTGCCAGTAATTAACCACATTGTTTGGAAAGCTGAATCCACTTTCACAAGCCTCACCTGTAGAACCCGTCAGATAAAAGCTAACCACCTCATCCCTTTGTCTCCTAAAGAGGACACTGTATTATTCCACTCTCTTCGCCTTAGTGATGTATAATTTTTATAAGTGTTATTTAGTCAATCACTGTGTAATTTTCAACATTGATTTGTTTACATTTGAACTACTAACTACTACTACCTTGCCTGCTGGTGGTGGTCGAAGGGACCGGTGGCGCCTGTGCTCTGCGGCCTCGCCTCTGTCAGTGCGGCCCAGGGCAGCTGTGAACGCATCGCATCCCCACCAGCGTGTGAATGGATGAAAGAGTGATTGTGTTTTAAAGTGCCAAAAAAAGACCACGAATGAACGCCAGATGAATCCAGGATTACAGCAGTCTCTCCCTAGTAATAAACACCAGGACTGATCAAACGTGAAGCACCCAACCGACCCATCACCACTGATGTAGACCTGCAGAGCAGCTGGTCTTTTTTCAAACTGCTCTCCTCTCGCTGGGAATGAAGCCATTCACGGTTTCTTTTTATCATTTGTAGAAACTTGTTAGAACTTTATTTAAATTAGTTCTAGTGACCATGCATTCCAAGAAATGCATAATAAACAATAACAATTGTGCAAACGTTGTGCTAAATGTGCAAAAAAACTATGAGGGAAATCTGCAAACATGAAACCATAGCAACGGGTGCTTCTATTTGGTTGTAACACAGAAACAAGCTGACAGGAGGTTCAGGTGCTTCAGGCTTCAGTGATGTCGTCTATGACTGGATCAGAAACTGCAGCATCCTCTGGTGGTCCAAAAACAGGCAGCTACAACTCGCACCAGTTGCCTGGATTGTTTACCGTCCCTGATCTGGGACGCATTCATGACCCTGCTGGCTCCATCCACCCCCATCCGTATACTCACCGCCTTTCTCCCTCTGCAGCATGTCCACATCAACACGGCTCGGACCAGTTGTTTAGCCTCAGGATGGGAGTCACGGGACGGAGCTTTGAAGTGGGCCAAAGCGAAGCCGCATGTAGGCTGAAGAGAGCCAACACAGAGTTCTCTGTGCGACTAATGATTGACAGAATATTGGATTACTCACACCGGCATTAGTCACGGTCAATTTGTTGCATGCTCTTCTTCTCTTTTCAGCGAGTGTGAATAAGTCAGCGTGTCTCACAGGTCCTTGGGTTTGGTCGTGAGGTGGCAAATCTGACTTTTACTTGGTTGTCACAGCTACGGGCGATGGAATCAGACAGGAACGCAAACAGCAGGAGACGTTTTCAACCACACGAGCATCATCTGGACATTAAACAGGTCCGCCGCTCGGTACAAAGTGTTCATACCTGCAAAAGCAAACATGTTTCTGCCGGGGGGGGGAGGGGGGGGGGGTTACACAATGAAACATAACAACCACGTACAAGCATTCTGAGGCGCCATCGGGTTGTCCGGCCTTTTTCTAACAGCGTGGGGGTAAAGCAGCCCCGTCATTGGCTCGTTTTGAGCCAGAAAGAACCAGTCAGCGCCACGCTCTGCACTCATCCCACAACTATCCAAACACTGGCTGTTAGCAACTCTGATTGTTTATCAGGCCACCTGGTCGTGCATCTGGTCATCCAGGGCGTAGGCCTGTCAGCGGCCATGACAGACGGACGTGCATTAATAACTGCGTCTGATGTGTCAAAATCACTAGTGGCAAGCGGTGACTTTAGAGGCAGCGCCGGAGCCAGGAGAGGACGCTGAGCGGAGGGAATGAAAAGCTGACTGGGGTGATGAGAAAAGGCAGACAATTAGAGAGGGAAATTAATTACAGCGCGCTCCTGTTTCAGGTCAGCACTTCACTGTGCTCCCCTTCCTGTGCTAATAAGACAAATTACATAATAGCCTCTGGAGAGGAGGAGGTTTGACACGAAGTAGCCTCTCCTAATAAAAAAGAGATGTGGAGAAATAATTACGAGGTATTAATATGAAGCAGGAGGCATCTCAGCTTCATCACAGGCTGAAAGACCCCGTTCCGCACTCGGAACGGCTTTAACCAAATAACCGAGGAAAACGTTGCATAACTCATGTCTTTGTTAATGGGTTTAATCAGGGACGGCAGCTGGGTTCAGATCCAAAAAGTTTTAATGAAGCACAGAAGTAAAGCATTTTCCAAGCATTGATTAAGAAAGCGTTACACGAAAGGGCCGATGAATTAGAGTTGACGGGATGAAACCCTCCCCGCTTGTGTTCAAAGTTTACCAGAAGAGCAGGGCATGAGGCAGCTGTCCCAACGCGGCGTGTACGGGACAGTTTGTGAGACAGGGAGCTTCATCAAAACAGATAATATATTAACGTTGTGGACATCGTGGCAAGTTTAGTGTCACAAAGTCCATCGTTTCGTAATTGATTTCCTAACAGCTTCCTCCTAGATAGGAGAGGCTATCTGTGTGGGAAGATTAGGACACGTTCCCTGGAATGTGGTGGAGGTTTGTGATGGAGGCAGGTTTTAGTTGGGATCAAAGAGGGCAAATTTCCTCTTTCATTTCCCATCTTTAAAGAGCAAGTCACCCCAAAATCAACTTTTTTTGCTGATAAACTGTATAAATGAGCGTCTGATCGTTCTATAGACACGTGTAGTCAATAATTTAGCATTTTGGTGCATCTTAGTTAAAATTTAAATATTCTGCCTGGTTTGCTTCTAATTCCTGAAACAGGAGCCTCGGAGCTTTTTTTCCCAGAGATCAAATCCGAAGGCATTTGTTCTAGACACCACCGCAAATGTGTTGAAAAAAGTAGAGAACTTGGTCCTAACCTTAAGGACACTTAATAGTTAACAACGATAACGTTAATAAAGGGAATCTTTGTTTATTAATGCTTAATAATGCACTAAGTAACTTACTAAAGGGACTGTTTTTATGAAGCATTTCCAGAAATGTTACGTACGTTTTATTGCAGCAAACCACACATAGTTTTTCAAACAACAGTTTAGATTATTGTTCTTTTAAATTATTTGAAGATGTAAAATAATCCGTTTGCCTTTGATTGCCCATAACATGGCATGGGTGCAAAAAATATTATTAATATTATTTTTTGCACTTTTGACTTGTTTTTATTTATAGCAATGAGGCTTGTAATGAGATGGAAACATGTTATGAGCTAATTCCCTAAAATATGTAATTTACCCTTTTTTCAAAAATCCCCATGTTTAATTTTTTTATCATTACGTTTTATCTTCAATAGTGCGCCAGTTACTTTTCTGTAAAGTTCAGTGATCCAACAAACTACTGGGGTTAAAATGCTTAATTGTTGTAAAAACAATAAAAAAAAATTTATTTCCTTCCATTTAGTTTAAGCAAAACCGATGAAGTTAAAACTAAACGGCTCATCACTCGTCACCGGGTAAAGAAAAGAGACGGTTTTCTCCTTTAACCCAGACTCCTGCTGGTTTCACGCTCCAGCAGGCAAAAGCCTGGTAACTGGTGTCATATGGAGCGGATGATGGGATGAATGTTCAGTGCGGTGCTCACTACTACCTGCCTCTAAGTGGTGACTCCACCACACCTCACATCTGCCAGCTCATTAACAGTCAGTGGGACGACAAAGCTCCCACATGCATGTGTTCACCTAGACCTGGCTGGTGGCTGAGTGAGGGAATCGTTACTCATTGAGATTATTTTTCAATGATCCTGCATCTCAATCATCATCCCACTTTTTTTTAAGGCTGCAGGTTAAAAACACAGCCGAGTGTCAGGAGCTGGACTATTTAAAGGATTTAACAACGTCCAGATGCTGAACTTTGTGGTATTCCATGTATTCCCAGTACTCAATGTCCCAGTAAGTAACATCCAGCGAGCTGGGGAAATCCTGGGACTTGGTGCTGGCAGTGCTGCCGGGATCGGGCAGGCTGCCATGAACCTTGATGTCAGATAGCAGAAATAAAGTGCAGAGAACAACACAGAGAAGCCTCTTTATCTCCACCGTTTTTTTATTAGCGATGAAGTCGTCTGTGTCAGATCTGCAGAGATGTGTTTTATCACAACACCACTTTGGCGCCATTTGAAGGATTTAATAAGACTGGAAGCTTTAATAGGATCATTTAAACAGTAGAGTTTATTTTAAAGAGGTCCTTTACTCATATTTTAATACATTTGGTCTCAAATAGGAATGAATGCGTTGTAAGTCGTTCTCTGGGGGAAAACAAGCTCCAGTGCACCTGTTTCAGCACAGAGAATTCAGGTGGAGGAGAAAATAGCTTCAGATGACAGGATTTAGAGTCTTATTTCCTGATATTTGGACATCTCGCCTCTGATTGGCTAACAGAAACACGACTCTACCACTGACTCTGTTTACTTTGCAATGATGATATTTAATCGCCACAAATAACACAAGCCTGGAGGAGTTCTGCTGTGTGGTGGAGTTGCTAACGCTAACAGTTAGCTTATACTAGTCGAGATGTTCTCTGCCGTTTCCTGGACACTAAACCAACAACAGCCTTCCCCGTCACGAGTTAAAATGGGCAAGTCCATGATTGTTAAGAGAGTGGTGTAGATCTGTCAGGCTTTACAAATCCTAGCGTTTCACCATTTATTTTCTATCAGAAGCTAACGCAGAAGATAGGTGTAGGAGACTATTTTCATGAGGTACTGAACATTTTCCAAACCAGCGAGTAAAAATGGTTTCTCAGTGAAGGACCCCTTTGTTTTGTGGCTCTGACTGAATCAGTTTGGGAAAGTTAGCACAAAGGTTTAGCTTTATTTATTGTGTAAATATAAAGCGATTATAAGTTTTCCCCCAGTACTTTAAACAGGTCCAACATCTTGGTGAAAATTTTGGTCAAACATGGAAGCTGAAACAGAATTCATCTCATTTAAAGGCACACTTGGCAGTTTTGCTTGCTTTTAGCACCTCCTAGTGTCCATTATTAATTATCTGTGGTCAAACCGAAAATGAAACCTATCTCCTTGCTGTGCGTTCATTTTTTTAACACTTTAATGTAGCAGCTGAAATGTCTCCCCGGATCCACAATCTAAAACATGCAGGAAACGTGCTGGAACAAGACTGCAGCACCAGGTATGTCAGCTTAAATTTCTCGAAGTGCCAACAGAGCGGCCCGCCACTCTGAAGTTGCAAATGCGGTATTCTCGCCAAAGAGGGCGGTGGGGGTCTGAGTGACATTTCATTAACCCTGTAAAGGCTCGTTTTTGAACATACTGGCTCAAGACAATGATTTAACCCTAACCCTTTAACAGGAAAGTTATTCTAAAACAAAAAAAATTAGGATTTTTTTTTCTTTTTAAGAATAAGAATTTCCTAAATGTGAAATGTTTTAATGTTTTTAAAATGCTTTAATGATTCAAGACAATTCTAAATGTTTTATTTTATTGTAAGAAAACACTTTAAAAGAACATTTTTACATCGTGAAGGGGCCGGGTTGTACCCCCCCTCTTTCATAACAATGTGTATAAACGACCATCCAACTAATCCTGACCTCGTTCTTCCTTGTTGTCTCAGAAATAAAACAAAAGCTGACCCTGACGGTTTGGACAGATTCCATTTTTCCCTCCGACAACTCCAAACAAGGTGATAATAAAATAAACAGCATGTTTGTTCTGAAGTTTCTGAAGTTCCCCTTGGCACCACTGCTGAATATTTCAGAACACTTTTATGTTCGGAAAACAAGACAAGCCCCAGAATTCAGTTTTCGCCGGCTTTATGTAATGCTCGGGTTTTCTTTTATTTCCAATATAAAGACTTTATTTTCTACAATAACAAAGATGCTATAGGATGTGAAAACAAAAAAAGGAGAGACCAAATACCCCAAAACCGTTAAATAAGGGTTATACACATACATGCTGGACCTCCACAAACACGTTTAGACAATCTACTGTACACATTTTCATACCTAACCCAGAGAATGATCTGTCATGCGACATCAGGACAGCAAGGTCTGAACCTGCTGAGGTGATCTGGGCACCAAGTTCTCTGGATCCTTGTAGGCGTTAGCTGGGCTGGTCAGGGCTGCGTAAACTTCTCTATAAGCTCTGCACACCAGCTCTGTCGACTGATGGAAAATCTGCTCCCTGCAAAAACAGATGCAACTCATGAGGCTGTGTTCAGTCAGAGGACAGGAGGCCGAATCAGACGCAAAAAGAACTGATCAGTATTGAAATTAGTGACTGAGGTAGAATTATGAGTGTGTGGTGCACACTGCCACCTATGGACACACACCACAGCGTGGAGATGCTAATGAGGGCGACTACCACAACAAATCCTTCAACTATGAAACTTTTCACAGATTTAATCATATGAGCAACAAGCTCTGTACAACATGGTGCTTTATTTGTTTTAATTATGAGTTTTAGCATCAATATCATGATCAATCAAAACCAATTTTTAGGATTTTCACATTTTAAATCAAACATAATCCAATGTTTGAAGTGCCGACGGCTACATTTTAATGATTTTAGTCACATTTTCTAACATTTTGAGTACAAAATACAATTTAAACCATAAATGTTGCAAAATGTCAGTGAGTTTCCTTAAACCTGTTCAATTTTATGATCTTTTTGAAAATGTCACCTTTTGCCAGACGTCTATAACCCATTTATTCCCAAATAAAATCCCCACATAGAATTAAAAGCTAATTTCTGCAGAAGAATAACTCATGGAGGATGTGATACTTTGACTCAAGAGCCCAGTGAGAGGATCCAAGGACACAATGGAGGCAACTCGGTTGTATTCCTTTCAGGCTCTTGAGAATTCTTTTTTTTTAATTGGCCCGGAGAGAGCCAGGCACCACTGTGAAGCGTACAGCATCTTATTCCATAATAAAACAAATGTGGAGCGAAGTAAGCAGTAAAAAAAGAGAATGTTGCTTTTATTTGTGCGCTTCCGGAGTGTTTTCAGGCTGTTTTTGTGTGTTTAGGCGAGTGGAGAAGCAGACGTGAGAGATAGCAGGAGAGAGAGCGAGGATGAATGATTTCAGGCAACCAGTATGAGTGAGAAATGGACCAGAAGCTAATTAATGGCGTCCTGCCCATCAGCTCTCCCATGTCCATTAATAGAGAACATTAACCTGAGGTACAGAGTGCTTCTCAAGCCTGTTGCACTTCCCAGCAAGCGTAGCTCACAGAGAGAACCCACCGACGCAGCTGGATTCAGCTAAAAGCATGTGCATTTTCTGATCATCGGGACAAATACGAGCAGTCCTGTTGACCATTCGCTCCATGTGTTGGCGGATTTAGCAATTCAGCATCCAAACTCGCCGTGCATTTAGCTGAGTGTTTTGCTCAGGATGCCATAGTGATTACATCAAACCTGGAAAACTAATAACCGCTGAACACTTTTAGGTAAACGTGCCTGATTTATTTATAACCCCTCTGAACGTGCTTTTCCCCAGACGTTACCACGTCATAAAGTCAACATTGCAAATGATGCAGGGAAAGTGAACATTGTAGACTATAGAGGCTCACTTTATGGCTGCGCTCAGAAGGAAGTTGAGCTGTGGCATCACAAGTGTGTCTGGTGACGACAAGTAGCGATCAAACTGGGTCTGTAATGTGACAGATGGATAAAAACACACGGCCACTAATAAGGTACTTGCAGATAAATCAGCATTATTGATGCATGTTGGGTAACTCACCATTGCTGCTTTCACAGAAGAGCTGTCCATACCGGGGAGGAGGGACAGAGGACCCTGGGGAAAGAGGACATCGACTTATAGTCCAGGTCAAGGTGACAATTTTTCACTATCAACGTACGGAGTCTCACGATGAGGGAAAAAAACAAAGCAAGAGAAATCGGTGCCTTAGGTCAGTGTTTCAGTGCTGGGACTGTTGGGTGACAAATTAAATTAGAGAAAGTCTTAAAGGTCTTGTTCACAGAGAAACCGTGTCAAATACAGTGATCTCTCGCTACTTTGTGGTTCGTTTATCGCAGATTCACGACTTCGCAGATTTTTTCTTTGGAGCCTTATTCAAGGGAAATTCGCAGATTTGCGGTATTTTTCTATGCGAAATATCAAGAAATTCCTGTTTTTTTTTCATAAATTTCATCATAAAATGCACTTTTTGTAATAAAACTATAAAAAAAACAAGTAAAAATACAGTACTATGTAAAGGGAGGGTTTTAAAAGTCTGAATACTGAATAACCTGTTAAATAAATACTGTAAATATGGTGTCACTACTTCGCGGATTTTCACCTATCGCGGCCAGGTCTGGAACGCATCTACCGCGATAAACGAGGGATCACTGTATGTTCTTTTTGAAATACGATTGGTCACCGATATTCACCTGTATGTCCATCGCCTGCATTAGCAGCAGAAAGGAAAAAGATGAGAAAATGATTGGGTCAGAAACAATGGGAAAAGGAGCATTTATAGCCCCGCCCACTTTAGATTGGGACTGCCCGCTGGAAGGAGGCGGCAGGGTATGTTTTGGTTACTAGAAGCTAATCGTTAGCAACGTGACTCCACAACCTGGCGGGACACATTCAGGATTGTGTTGTTTGTGGAGATAAAACATCAACGTTGCATTTTTAACCCAAGAAAGAAGATCGAACAGAGGCAGCGGAAGAGTCGTGTTGCTGTTAGCCAATCACAGGTGAGACGTTTGACTTTAGTGAATAATGAGTATGAAAATGTTCTCACAGTTGCAGCCCGGGGCTGGTGGCGATAAGGAGACACAAAGGTGAATTTCTGTTGGAGGAATGCTAAATAGGTACAAATTACACTTTTGTGACAAGTATGAATGGTCAAGTCGCATGCGTGGGTCAAGACATGATCGTGAACAAAGCGTAGTCGTACTGCAAGATGTGACAATTTATGTGGAAAACTCGTAGGCACTTCCCACACGTACAAGTATGGAGTCTTTGTGAGAAAAACAGATAATTTTGGTGCGTTTGTGTGGATGGAAGGTCTGTAGCTTTTCACAAACAATGACTCAGCAGTCTTTATCTCACACTAACAACAAAAGTCTTTTTTGCTTTTTTTTCTGTCTGTCTCACTTTATACTGATCCCGTTAGTCCTTAAATTTTAATTCCATGGGAGATGAATACCAGAGGAAATGCTAAGTTAAGAATTTTCTCCTTCTGTACATCAATATGTTGTTTACGTGGGGAATCTCGCCACCTACTGGCAACGATGTGCCGCACTCAACAACTCTGACTACTTTGATAGAAAATCGCATAATCAAGTCTCATAAATACTTCAGAAACTCCCTCGAAAATAACGTTAGCAATTTATCACCAACACTCAGAACCCACCGATGGTCTTTTATCATTCGTGTAGATTCTATGGAGCCATTTGGTTCAAAACTGTTAAATAATTATTAAAAGTATTGTTTTTATTTGTGGCTGAACTTTTTCCACTGTTTAATGCAAACATACAATCCATACTCGGTTTGATTTATTCCTTCTTATACATTTTTGATTTGAAGTAAAATGATCATATTACCTCTATATAAGTAAACACATGCCTGACACAGTGTAAACAGCAGCAGGTACTTTTCAGGCCATTAACCATCACCCGCTATCCAAAATGGTTAAATTAAGTCAAGCCTAAAGCCTAAATTACTGGTGTTAAGACTTGCAAATAACAGAAAGTGCAAAGATTGAAGTGGCAAAGCAGCACCTAGAGCAGTTTTACAGTTACAGGCACCGTCGCAAACACACAGTCATAAACTCATCATCTTCAGCTACAAGATCTGCTTTTCACTTCATTCAACCCAGGCAACATGCTTCTATAAAGACCATCTTTACGTATAAGTGATGTGACATCTTGGATTTAGATGAAGCTACACTTTCATAAACACAACCTTATTTTAGGGCGGACCACCCAGGTGGAAGACAGAACTGAGGAAGAGTGACAGTCTGTAACTGAGCTCTGAGCTTCTGCAGCAGAAGGGTGTGGTGTGTCCTTACATGACCCAGAGTCGAGACTCGCATGCAAGACCACAACTATGGGTTTCAGTCAGCTCAGTGCCAAAGTGAGCTGGGGTGGGGGGGGTGGGGGGGGGGGCTCTTATCTACACAAGACACTTCTGGAGAAGCCAATATATTTTAATAGAACATGACACAATCTCTTCCCTTCTCCTTTTCTCATCTGTAAATCTGATAAAAATGCTATTATGCTCTAATGTGGACACAGGTCTTGTGGTAACCATGGTGATGGTGACGCCTGTAGACATTGCCAAAGCCCAATGAGACAGTATAAATGGTGCTTTGGAGACTGTATTTTATATATATATATATATATATATATATATATATATATATATATATATATATAATATAATAGGACCATTAGATGGTCTAAAGGGGAACATTTGGAGAAGCAAAATAAGAAAACCCATGTGTTGGACCTGTTCAGTGCCGTGCTGCTGCACACAGTTGTAGATGTAACTAAGTCCAGCTCGGGTCAGCACGTAGGACGCCTGCTCGTTGATCAGCGTATCAAGGTGAGCCTCGATCTGAAAAGTGCAAAAGAGAGCGGCTGCAGGTTTATTCCATGCATTGTGAACCGATGGTACTCATGATTAATGGAGAGTAATGTGTAACTGATAATGAAACTTTGAAGAGCCCTTGTGGGGCTCAATTTCTAAAAGAAGAGGTAAAAATAGCAGGATGGATGGAGCATTGGAGCACGAACAACAATACATGACGCAGGCTCTTCCATGAGACAGTAAATTAAATCAAGAATATTTCAGCTGTGGATTTTTCAGTGAAAGGGACATGAATGATTAGCTATTTTCTGATGAACAATGAGCCTACAGACAACGTGACCATAAGCTGAGCCATCAGCGTTTGATCAGGGTATCTGCAGGTTTAAGGGAGCCAAATTTAAGACTTTTTAAGACCTTTTTTAAGGCCACTTTGACCAAATTTAAGACCTTACATTCAAGACTAAAAAATGTAATGTGACGAGTACGATCTTACAAATAGTTCTGGCCAAACCTTTATTGGAACTGAAAGTGATGAAAAATAACACAAACATCAAGATAAGAGAATCTGGGCATATATTTTCCAAAAACAAAATGCAGTACTAAGAACTCTGATTTAAATACTGTGAATATCCGTATTTAAATAAACTGCATTTACATGAACGTGTAAAATGATTACAAGTACCATGTATTGAATACTAAATATAAGTAAATGGTCCTACTCCTTTCTCAGTTATGGAATAGATCTGAGTTCTTCAGTCTTGGTCTTCAGTTCAGTTTCCACCTGTTCTAGTTCATACATTTTTTCTCTGTATCTCTTCCTCAGCGTGTTTGACTTTGTGATGAGCTGGGCCATCAAGGTTCCACTCTTCCCTTCAGCATCTTCTGCAAGTTTATCAGCATCTCTATGTAGGCTGTTGGACACCTGCAGCAGGATTTGCTTCTTTTTCCTAAGCTCCTCAATGGCTTCTTCTGCAGATTTTCGCTTCTGTGCCTCGCGATCAGTGATTTTCTTCCTCTTTTGCTCATTTAGATGCACTCTATATCTGGACCTTGCTGATGCAGCCGATGCATGTAGCTCCTTTGACATAGGGACGTTGAAGACCCCCCCCCCCCCCCCCCCCCCCCCCCCCCAGAGACAGTGACATAATCACAGACCAGTCGCTGAGCAATCATTGTGTTTTCCTGCATCTTGTAGGTCTCCATCTCTTTGTTTAGAGAATTTTCTCTCCACTGTTGCTTGTCCATGGGACAGAAGTAGTAGTTTCTTGCTAAACTCCAATACCTCCTGATAGCATTGGCTCAGGACACCATTGAGAAATACATCCAGTACAAATTTGACTACATATGCTGTTTTGTCTTTAGCACACGTAAAGTTTTTAGCAATTTCTGAGTCGGGAAACATAGCTCTAAAAATATCTCCGACTCCCTCATTAGCGCCGTAGGATTGGTGTCTTGTTACGCTGTGCAGGCACCACAGTACCTCTGCCTGAAGAGTTGCAGTGGATCGAAAAATCCCCCTGAGGTCCGATGCTGTTGCGGTCGCTGCTGGGTTCGGAGATTCTGAAGCCGGGAAAACCGGTGACATGGTGCAGAACTGAGAAATTGCATGCGTCTGTTCGTGGGTTTTGGCTGTGGCTTTGTGCTTCTCGCTGTGCATATGCGACTCCACAGCTTTAACTCCAAGGAACAGAGTTTAAAAAGCTTTTTGCACAGAGTACAGCGGGCCTCGCAGTTGTTGCCTGGAACCGGCGCCAACCACATCGCGAACGTGGGATTAGCTATCCAGTTGACATTAAATTTGCACTTCCCCATGGCCCAAAGCTCCCGCTAGCTTAACCAGCTAATGTGCTCATCTAAAAATGGCCCCCTTCCACAACCAACTGAATGTGTACGGTTCCGCTAATGCCAATATCATACACAAACAATGCCGAACACTAACTAGAAATTCACGAACATTTTATAGAAAAAAAAAGAATATTGTTTATTGGGTCTTTGGCAATTTAAGACATTTGGAAACTGTATTTAAGGATTATTTGTCATTTTTAAGGACTTTTAAGGCCTTAAATTTGGAAAAGCTAATTTAAGACTTTTTAAGACTTTTTAAGGACCCGCAGATACCCTGTTGATGCTTCATCTCGTTTTATCTTAATTATTACAGCGTATTATTACAATTGTGACTACATTTTTATTTCAGGTATATGTATGCATGTGATAAATGAGACACACCTGGAACTCCAGCATCTCCAGCCTCTTGTCCGTGAACTCAAAGAGAGCCAGAGTGGTTTTCATGACATACAGCGAGTTGACCATGTAGGTCGCCATGTCAGCTGTGCCAAGGTTACTGGCCGACACGGTGCATAACTGTAGGAGCGGGTCCAAGATACAGGACAGAACCTAGAAGACCAATAAAGAACAAAAAAGGTGTAAGCAAAGAGAGAAACGAGAAACCATGATTGGTTATGAGAAATAAAATAGATGTTGGAGGTAGTGTTGGAGTTCCTGTAAAAGCTTTTTGAGCATGCTACATTTTCTAAAAACACATTTAAAAGGTCCAACCCCCTTTCTTCAGGCTCCGCCTTTAGCCATCAGAGTACAGTACAAAACTAATGCTGTCAATCCATTAAACCACTAACTTTCCATACATTTTCGACCAGTTTGTTGAAGCTTTCATGCCGATTTAATTTAGTTTCAACCACTTAGCAAAATTCAAGGGCTTTCAATGATTTCAAGTACTTGTTTCTTTTGTCTCCATTGTTTTTTTTATTTTGAGAAACTAGTAGTATAAACTGGAAATCGAAGCTCCACAATCGTGTGAGAATCTATGAGTTCAAATAAAGTGAATACATAAAAATACAAATTACACTCCTGCAAATAGATCACTAGAAAGGTTGCACTTTGCCTCTTACAAGGTGGGCCATTTATATGAATACACCTTAATGAAATGGGAATGGTTGGTGATATTAACGTCCTGTTCGTGTCACATTAGTACATGTGAAGGGGCAAACTTTTCAAGATGGGTGGTGACCATGGTGGCCATTTTGAAGTTGGCCATCTTGGATCCAGCTTTTGTTTTTTCAATAGGAAGAGGGTCATGTGACACATCAAACTTATTATATGTGATGTATATCACCACTCATCTTGAAAAGTTTGCCCCCTCACATATACTAATGCGCCAAAAACAGGATGTTAATATCACCAACCATTCACATTTTTTAAGGTGTATCTATTTAAATGGCCCACCTTGAATAACAGATTGACGTTAGAAGTTGTTCAAGCCATAAAAGAGAGGGAACTTGTGCATGTTGTCTAATAAAAAACATCTTGTAAAAATTAATTAGTACCTGAGCAAAGTCGGCCTGACGGGCGTCCAGAGGAACTACAGAGGAGTCATGGGAGGTGAGCACCTCCCTCAGGAGGGAGAGGGTTTGATTGAGAGATGCTGTAGGCCCAAGGTCTGGGGGCGGCAGCTCCACCTGCTCAAACGGACAAGACCATGAGTGTAGATGGAAAAAACAAGAAAGAAGTTAGTTGGGAATAATAAGCTCACAGACAAATGAACTCCTCGTAACATAATCAAAGCAATAAACAACCCCCCTTACCCACGGTGTCCCAAAAGGTTCTGTGCTGGGGCCTCTGCTCTTCCTCCTCTATCTGCTTCCTCTTCAGTACATCCTGAGCTCCTTCAAAGGAATCTCCTACCATCTTTATGCAGATGACATCCAACTGTACATCTCCTTTAAGCCCCATGAAATGTCTAAAGCCGGGCGTACACTGTGCGACTTTTTCACTTGCAGCGTTCAGCTTCAGCTCAAACTGCACGACTTCCTCGCAGAGCAGATCTCACGAGTCATGTGCTCACACTGTACGACCCAGTTCTCGCATGCGACCTGACTGCTCACACTGTACATCTGGTAGCAACACGTCGGCCCTAAAAATGTGCTAAAAATAGCAGTTTTTACTCAACACGTCAGACTTTTTTGTCTTGCCTGTTGTCCTTCGGGAGTGCTGCAGGAGGACACACAGGGATTTATGGGGGTTGGATGAGGAAAACGAAATAAAGAAAGTGAATCTGTGTTTTGTGATCAGTTTAATTTGACATGAACACGACAAACACGCTTTCTTGACAATCTTTGTGAGTAAAAAAAAACGTGTAGAAACAAAAACGAACAGCGTGTGTTATTAGGGAAATAGCGAGCGACCGGCCGGCGTTGATGCAGGATTGCGCGCGCATGCGCCGTGAGCGGTTCTGATACTTTTTGGATCGTAGCTGCTCGCAGCTGCTCGCAGCGCCGCTTCAACAGTGCGATACCCTCACGAGGGACGAGCGAAATATTAAACACACCAGAAGTCCCTGCGACCTCACGACTGCTGATCGGCAGCTGGTCACGTGGTGTTAATCGCCTCTCGTAACCCCCTGTACACTACACGACCGCTCGGCGCAAAACTCGCCCCGATGTCGTGGCTTCTCGCACGAATGGAAAATCGGCTCAAAAAAGTGAAAAAGTCGCAGTGTACGCCCGGCTTAAGCTGCAGCTGTTACACTCCTGCTTAGACTCTATCAAAACCTGGATGGCTGGGAGCTTTCTACAGCTGAATGAAGATAAGACTGAGATCCTCATCTGAGCCCCAGACAAGCTGGTTCCCAAAGTCAGAGACTCTCTTGGTCAGCTTGCTTCACACACCAAACCTTCCATCAGGAATCTTGGCGTAACCTTTGACCCAGCTCTCACCCTGGATTCTCATGTCAGTTCTCTTGTTCGCTCTTCCTTCTTCCATCTCAGGAACATTGCTAAGCTGAGTCCCATTCTGTCCCGCTCTGAACTTGAGACAGTTCTCCACACCTTCATCTCCTCACGCTTAGACTACTGTAACTCTCTTTTCACGTGTCTGAGCAGAACCTCCCTGAACCGTCTACAGGTGGTTGAGAACGCCTGTGCTCGGCTTCTGACCAAGTCCTCCAAATACACCCACATCACCCCGCTTCTCCTCCAGCTTCACTGGCTGCCAGTCAACTCCAGGGTTCATTTCAAGATCCTGGTTCTGGTCTATATGGCCTTACATGGACAAGCACCATCTTACATTGGTGATCTTCTTTAGTCCCTACATCCCCAGCAGGTCCCTGAGGTCCAGTGATCAAAGCCTACTGGTTGTGCAGCACACCAGGCTAAAAACCAAAGGTGACAGATCATTTGCTGCTGTGGCCTCCAGACTCTGGAACTCTCTCCCCCTGAGCCTGAGATCAGTGGACTCAGTGGTCTCCTTTAAAAAGCAGCTGAAAACTCACCTGTTCAAGCTGACTTTTGTATGGCCTTCTTCAACCACTCTCTCTTTATTCTGCTCTCCCCACCTATTCCACCTTCATCAGGATCCACTGATTTCCTTCTTCCTATTCACTCTCTCTCTTTCTTAACATTTTTTAAATCACAATTGTCTATTTTTTTTAAATATATTTTTAACCATTTTCTAAATTCTTTTTTATATTTTTACATTTTTTGTTTTTGTGAAGCGCCTCGTGATTTTTATCTTGAGAGGCGCTATAGAAATGATATTTTCTTCTTCTTCATGTTAAGCATGCGTCTGAACCTCAATCTGTAGGGCTTTAGTAATGAAGAGGGTTGTGATTTCATTGGTCTTTGCACACATGATACCGAACCGAGCAAGGCCACCTTTGTACACCTAATAGAGCAAATTATGAAAAGGCTGTGTTCCTAGCATTAGCTGGAATAGACATCAAAAGCCCAAGGGCAACCAATTTGATTAACACCGAGCTGCAGAGATAATTCTTGTAACTGTTATTGATCAGGAGACTGACACCGTGTAATGTGGAAGAGCTCGTGCCCGTGCTGAGGTATATTTGGAAGCCAATTTAACTAAAGAGTACTAAGTAAAGAGTTTCTTGGCAGCTAGCTGCATTTTGCTGCTGTGGCCAGGAGGCTGGAACTGTTTACGCTAGGTGTGTTTCAGAAATAGCCTTGTTGACTTTGAGGGGTTTAGATAAAGAGCTGAAATACACAATGTGGTTCCGTGTGAGCAACACTAAGCTTCACTACACTTCCATTTAGACATTTTTATTAGAAGGGCATTGCTAACAATAGAACAACAAGGCCACTTTTTTCATCTCTCTTCATAGCTAAGGATGTTTTTTTCCAATTGTCACATTTATATCTAAACATTGCGTGAATCAAAGCTACTATTACGGCACCTTGTCCATGAGTCTGCTCGCATGAAGGCTCAGGCTGTTGAAGAACATCTTTTTACTGAGGAGGTGCATTTCCTCAATAGTGATGAGCAAAGAGGCCACGCTGGTACCGATGATGGAGCTGGATAGAGATCAATTTAGAGGAGAAAAAAAAGTTTAGACCTTTTAATTCACCCAATTATTTTAAAAGACGTCACAACCTTCAAGTTTTTTCTAGAATTCAAAACCCCTTACATTAGCATGTCCCAACCCACTTCATTTTGGCTAATTTATAAACGTAAGTGGTGGTGATGCTAACTGCAGAACAACACTTGCCTGAGCTACTTTAAACGCTAGCCTGAGCTACTACCAATGCTACCCTGAGCTACTGTAAATGCTAGCCTGAGCTACTGCTAACGCTAGCCCGAGCTACAGCTAATGCTAGCCCAAGCTACTGCTAACACTAGCCTGAGCTACAGATAATGTTTGCCTGAGCTACTTTAAACGCTAGCCTGAGCTACTACCAATGCTAGCCTGAGCTTACTGCTAATGCTAGCCCGAGCTATAGCTAATGCTAGCCCAAGCTATTGCTAACACTAGCCTGAGCTACAGATAATGTTTGCCTGAGCTACTTTAAACGCTAGCCTGAGCTACTGCAAATGCTAGCCCAAGCTACTGCTAACGCTATCCCAAGCTACTGCTAACGCTAGCCCAAGGTACAGCTCACACTAGCCTGAATTACTGCTAACGCTGGCCTGAGCTACTGCTAACATCATTGTTGGATGAAACGAAAACAAAGAAGAATGTCGGAGCACACATTTAACATTCCAGGATGTACTGGGAATATCCAGACTTTGAATGAATGCCAAATATTCCCATAGATTGCCTATTGAGTTATCTAGATACGGCGCACATAATTTCTAGCTTCAGGCTGCATCACAGTAGCCTGGCCTGCCAGACTCCTCCTGTTTAATTCTGCACAGAGAAAGGGTCTGGGAACTCTCCTATTCAAATAACCCCACCCCCTGAGAATTCTAACCGAGCCAATCAGCGCTGAGTAGCGTACGTCACACACCACAACCCCGAGTTTGTCATAAACATGGAGACTGAAGCGGAGTTCGCTGCAGCTCTTTCTGAATCTGTTCTAAATGATTTGAATGTCCTTAAAACCACAACATTTTAGACTACAGCTAAAAAACTACTGCGTTGCGCGGTACAGTCGACATTTCCATCTTTTTTCTGATTATTATGGGCCATTTTGAATCCCAGTAAAGTTTCATATGTTACGTTATATTTAGTACAGATTAGATCATTTCACTATAATTAGCAGATTAATAAACAGATTTCTTTTGTAAGTCCTCTGTTCTGAAAAAAAAAAGAGTCAGGGAAACATGCTTTTTGTGTTGAGGCTCCATGGGGCAGGAATACTTAACCTGTTAATTAAAGGTCAATCACATCTTTTCGTTTGATTAGTAAAGTGGTTTATGAGCATGCGGCGCATGATTGTAATAGCGTTTTACTCCACTGCTTAAATATATGAATAAATAAAATAGAGGCTCAAAGACCAGATTCTAATTGTAAAAATAATTTGTTCAAAGACCCCTTTGATGGAAAGCATTCTTTAATGAACTTTTTTTATTTGGATTATCTTGCAGAATTGCCAACACTTAAACTACCTGATTGTGTGGTGGTAGAACTTTAGCAGGTTGGACAGCTTATAGAGCAGAACGGCGCCTGGTTCTGCCACAATGACTTGTTCTATCCTCACCTAGGGAGCAGATCAATAACAAACAAGTGGGTTCATGAGCAAAACCTGGCAGAACGCAGCAAGCAATCACCGGCAGGCGGCTCAGACTTTATTAGTATTTAAAACTGAATTGGCTGCCCACTTTCAGCGGCCTACAGACTCCCTCCGTGATGTGTCCCACCACTTCCTGCATGTTCTCCTCAACACCTGATGGAAAAGAAATCAACTTTTGATCAGCTAACAAAATGAAATGAAGTGTATTCAAATAAATAACACACAACCGCTTGTGATGTCTTTATACCTTGCAGTGTGACTTGTTTCAGCAGAGCTTCTAAATGCTCTTTCTCCGAGGCGGTCGCTTGGTGCAGCCAGGCTAACATGTCCCCAACATACCTGAAAGAGGGACAAAAATAACCTGGATGAAAGAACACACCACTGTGACACCCAGCAGTGTCACAATTCGCAATTTAAAGGATCGTCATGTTTTATTTTCATCACATTTACTGCCTTTTTGTTTCTTAACAGTCGGGGGGAAAGGCTTTTTTAAAGCAGCACGAGAAAAATCTGGCAGTTTTTTGCTCTCGGGCTCCCCCCATAATTGTGGTTTGCACCACCAACAGAGCAAAAACAAATCAGTCTGAGTGCGGAGAGCCGAGAATGTGAAAAGGCTAAAGAAGCCAGGACAGACATGACTAGAAGCCACCAAATATGTGGAGTGACAAGGCTGGATAATGTTACAAAATATAACAAGACCACTGCAGAGGTTTCTATCATGTGATGTTGGACAAAAACATCAAAAATGCTAAGCAAAAAAGTGTTCTTTGATTTTTTACATTTTAGGAAGATATTAGGAAGATTTTTAATCCATAGTGGAGTTTGCACAATTTAAAAAAACAGGGTCTTGATTTTGCAAGGTTTACTAAAAACTGATGAGAGGATTTCTGGAGTTTGTAGCAGATGTTGTAACGCTGTGTTTGCTTAGAAACGTGTGACATAAACAATATTATGAGTATTTAACTTATGAATGACGACAATGTCTTCAAAACTGGTGTGATTTAAAGGATCACACGTTCTGCTGTGCGACTTTATACTTGGTCGTTTTTGTGAGTGTTAGGGGAGAGGAGGACACGGGGCGAGTGTGAGCTGGATGTTCTGAGAACCGCCAAAGCCTCCGATGAAGAGGAGGTGATTCTGTGTTCTGAGAAAATCACCTATTAGACTCCTGGGCACAGAAAGAAGATGTTCAACAACATCTAAACAAAAAACACCCGCTTGGAACCGAATGTGACTGATTTACACACAAACCATGATAAACGTGTTGGGCACACTGAAATGTGTATTTATATCTTATTAAAATCCCCTATTTGTCCAGAAAAGTTAAACAACTTCTTTGATCTACAAAAACATTTCATAAAAAGATGGTTTGACTAAAAAGCCTAAACCCACAAACTGCAACAAGATACCAGAACTTAAAAAATACTTTCCATATTTTAAAAGCTGTGCAGAAATGTACTGACGCAAAACAGTGTCACAGAAAATCAGTCAATCATTAAATAACACGTTTTATGCCTCATTACTCTAAAAAGTAGACATATTTGTATTAATTAAATCAATTACTGCATGAATAATTGTTTAAAATAAGTCATTTATTAAAGGGACTTTAAGGAGTTTTGAATTTTTATGCTCGCGATTGCCCCCTCAGGCCAAAAGCGTAACGGCAGCTTCAATAGTAGGCTCATCCACAAGGCGCGCATGCTGTACGTGCACACTCCATAATGAAAATAACAGCTGAGACAGTCCCTTGCGTGTGTATGCGTGTGTGTGTGTGTGTATGCGTGTGTGCGTGTGCGTGTGTGTGTGTGTGTGGGGGGGGCCCGGAGGACAGAGGACAGGAGAACGTGCAGCTAATTAATTAAATAATTTGACTCTGTATCCTTTCTCTTCAGCACAGCCGACAAAGGTTTATGATGGGTCAGTCCTCCTGCATGCTCAGTTCATTCCCTTCCCTTGCTTGAACAATTGTTCCAAAATGAAAGTTGAACCCACATCTTTTTTATCTGTGAATTCAATGCCATTCGGCGAGTCTCAAATAAAAATTTGGGCATCTTACTGTAAAAAAATACCATTAATGTAAAAAAGAAACTCTAAATAACCTATGTTCACATCCAGAATCAAACCCAGGTCTTCTGCACGGGAGTCCGACGTCTTACTAGGTGAGCTTAAGCGCCAGTGATGTCCTTTGTATCTGTAACATTTATATCCTTGATGACAGCTGAAACAACATTCAAAGAACGGTTTGGAGCGAAGATGGCTATTTTGTTGCTAATTTGCAGGAAATACCGAGAAGAAAGTTCTACAGAAAGTAGCTAAGGGTCTTCAGAAATGTAGCTAGCTTTGTCACTAGGCGTTAGGAACAGCGACAAAGTAGCACTGCCTCTCTCTCTGCTGCTAAAGCTACTGATAGCAAATGCTACGGGCTATGCCTGAGCGTGAAAGCGCATGAAGCAGCCTGCTCGACCCGAGCAGCTCTCTTTTTCTGTGATTTTACAGAAAAACAGGCAATCACAGTAAAAATGCCAGGGCTCATTCTACAGGACCAGGGCATTGCAGGAGAATGTATGAAGAAGAAACTTATTATTTCTATACATGTTTTTGGCTGTCAAACTTCCATGATGCCCATTTAAGTAAAAAATAACACCAAATATTATCATACCTATGATAAATTCATTCAATACAGAATCAATTAATGAGGATATACAACTTTTTGCATGGTAAAACCAATTATTTGATCTTTTCTTGCTCCCAGTGCTTCACTAAACTGTAATTGTGTCATCCACTGATTTTAATGTGTGAGGATGACTGATAAAATAATTAATTACATTCTTAAATAAACATAGTGGCTTTATAAATTTTAAAAATGTGTTTTTTTTTACTGACCGCTAAGCAAACATTTATTCGTTAAGAAAAAAGTGTTGATAATATATGTCAGTTCCAGTCAACATTAATACAACTTTAAATTATTAAGTATTTTGGAAGATTTTGACACTATTTTGGTAAAGTTTAAACATTAAAAGTGTCTGGGATGTCTTGGGTTAATATGGAGCCGTTGTGCTGAAAAAGGCCTTGCTGCCCTGAAGGCTTCCTTCTCCCAACTGCATCCGTTTTCCCAGAATCCACCAGGCGTCTCTGTTTATGGACCTGTTTTTGTTTTTCTGGGGAACATCCAAGTAAGACTGAACATGCACCTCAAAGGATCGTGTGAATGCATCTCTATGGGCCGTGGCGTTCCTCCTGGCCCGCCTCGGGTCAGGGCGTCGATGAAGCCTCGCACCACAGCACATCTGCGTGCGGTTCCAAACTCATCCAGGGTGTACCTGAAAAAAAAAAAAAAAAAAGATGACATTTTCCAACACTCGTGTGAAAAAGCCAGGAGCTGCGGTCAGTTTTTAAACCAACATGAAGGCGATGTTTCCATAAAAGATGAAGTTTGGAGCAGCTCTGATGACTTGGCAGCAACAACCTCTGTGTCAGACTAAACACAAGATAGCAGCCTGGTCCCCAGCCTCAACAAACCCAGACAGAGCCTGACCTTGGACGCTTCGGGCCCACGGAGGCAGGTGCACTTCAGAAAAAAAATTTAAAATACACCAACAGAAGCAGGTTTGGCCATGAAAACATAAGTAAACATAATATCGTGTAAAACATTTCCTTGAAGTTCATTTCTTATGTTAAAGATAAAACAGTAAGCTTCTTGGCATCTTTCAAAGTGACGTTAGAAGAAAGGGAGCTGGAGGACTCAGGTGAGATTCCAATAAAGGAAACTACTACTAACATTTCAACGCTGCACACGTCGTCATCAGAGTTACATCTGGGTAGTTTAACACTTCGGTCACATACAGGTGCAGACAACTGATCCAGAGACCAGCTGTGAAGATACGTATTCTCATTGGTCTTTGACTCCAAGGGAGGAGGAGCCAAATCCTCCAAAATGACTTCTAACATAAGAAAAAGTTGCCTTCTTCCATTTTTTTTAGTAAACAATAAGGATGTAAAAAAAAATACTGATGCAGTGAAAAATTAAAACATTTCCTTTAATGATACTGAATGAAACTTTAAAAGCAGTGTATTGACTTTTTGATAAGGATTTACATGCAAACAATAAATATCGGTCTACTCCTTAATATGAGCAAAAAAGAAATAAATTACAGAAAAAAATCTGTAAAATTTACTGAATAAAAAGACTATTTTTAATTCCAAGAAATGATTAAAAATGTGTCGTCGTGGATCAACTTAAGCCAACGTTCCACTAAATCTGGAGGAAGATTGCAGGAACATTTTGTTACCGTGATGATGGAATAAATGTGTTTTCTCTTTTCTTAAAGGTTCTGAAATCTTCTCCCCTGCTGTCTGATCGGCGCTGACATTTTCTGTTGCCTCGGGCCGTTTGCTTTGTTCTTTTATAACCAAAAACCTTGTTTCTCTCTCCAAATGCAATGCAGCCAAATAAATAAATAAATAAAATGTCCTAAGGTCTCCATAGTCATTTGATAGAGCCTTAAAGAGAAGTCACATTGAACTATGCGAGTTTATGTCACAGACGTAAGAAAACGATTATATGGTGCCATTTTAGGATCTTTTTACCCTTACTTATAAAGAACAGGACGATCCTGCAGGGCGTCCATGGCTTGAGTCAACACGGGGCTGATGTCACACGTCTCCTGAGTCACTCCTCTGCATTCATCTACATGGAGACGAAAACAAAAGGGAAGAGAAACGGGTCTTTACTGTAGGAGAAGCAGCTTTCTAGTAAACCGTTCACGTTGCCGTGGACTCGCCAAGAAGTCAGATGTTAAAACAAACTTCAGACGACGTGAAAACTGGCGAAAACACTCCACTCCTCGCTGCATGCTGGGAATAAAGGTCCAAAAAGAAAAGAAACGGGATCCAATCAAAGGAGAATAACTATATCTGCAGGACCGCAGCCGCTCCGTTTGTTTTAGTCTATACTTTGTTTTTGCACAATGTGAATTTAGAGGTTTGGAAGATCATAACAGTTTACTTCCATTTTGATTTCAACGCCTGGTTAGGATGTAGAAATGTGGGTTTACGGGCGTTCTCTCAGTGAAAACAGAAGATGTGAGTCATATGACTCACACTCGTGGAGTTTTTCTCACTTGAAAGAGCAAACTTCTCCACTTCAAGACTTTTCCTCTATTCAACACAATAAATTATCGTTAACTCCTCATGTTTATCACCAGATCTTAACGTGCACTCACTCTGAGCCCAGCGGTAGAGCTGCTCGTATGCCGTCTCCTGTAACACCGCCATCTGCTCCATGATCTCCAACCTGCAACGGGCATGCACGCCGAAAAAAACGCGTCACAAATGCACGGTGGTGTCAGACGCCGTCAGAGACAGGACTGCCGACCCGGGAGAGGGGTTTGCTTATTATAAATGTAATAAAAAGAGTTTCTGGTGCATCATTACGCTGGGAGGCGCGGAGAAGCTTACCCTGCTGTTTGCTGGTTGGTCCTCAGGAGGACTTTCACGTCCTCGTGTATGTGTTTAACCCGGCTGAGAACTTTGAAGAAATCCTGCAAAATGTAAATGGCAAAAACTACAATTATGACCAAATTTACAGAATAATAGATTTGGGATAAAGAAAGCTTTCAACTTTGAACTGAAGCTGCCAGCTTAACCCAGCCTGAGACTCAGCGTAGACCCAAAACCATCACGAGCTCTTTGAGTCGAGTCAACAGCATTTGACCTATACAGCCATGATAGAAACTCACCTTTATGGTGTTTCTTTACCTTCATGTTAGATGTTTCTGTGGTTACTGGAGTATAACAAGCATTTTATAATACTTTCTATTGACAATTACATTAAATTTGACAAAAGAACATTTGACATATCAATCAGCTTGTGGGCCTTTCAGGAACTGCTCTGGAGTGGTTCTCCTCTTATCTGTCTGTTCCTTCTCTGTGGCCGTCTCCAATTTTCAGTCCTCCACCACCTCCCTCGCCCATGGTGTCCCACAAGGTTCTGTGCTGGGGCCTCTTCTCCTCTTCCTTTATTTGCTTCCTCTGCAGCACATCCTGAGCTCTTTTAAATGAATCTCCTACCATCTTTATGCAGATGACCTCCAACTGAACATCTCCATTAAGCCCCATGAGATGTCTAAGCTGCAGCTGTTACACAACTGCTTATACTCTTAAAACCTGGATGGCTGGGAGCTTTCTACAGCTGAATGAAGATGAGACTGAAAGTCAGACTCTCTTGAGAAGCTTGGTTCTCACACCAAACCCTCTGTCAGGAATCTTGGTGTGACCTTTGACCCAGCTCTCACCCTGGATTCTCATGTCCTCCTCAAACTTAAGACTATTGCAACTCACTTTTCATTTGTCTGAACAAAACCTCCCTGAACCGTCTACAGGTGGTTCAGAATGCCTCGCTGACCATTATTACTCCAACACATCAGCATCAAAAACAGAAAAACCAGAATCTTATCTCTTTGGTAGAGCTCTGGATACAGACTTGTCAGCTACCAGAGGTAAGCCGACGATCTGAAGCTGAAGAACTGCTCATGACATCAGCTAGATAAGCATCAGTACTTGATCCTACATCCTCCTATTCTGTGGCAGCCAGAGAACCGTTCACATAATCTGATTTATTAGTCTACATTATGATGGAGATTACCTCGGTAATGGGGGCATCTCGTGCGCGTCGTAGTGTGGCCATTTCCTCATTAGAGAGCTGGAACTTGGACAGGAAAGCTTGAGCGACCTGAGCTCTCACCTCAAGCCGCTGACTGAAAGGACCAAGAGAAAAGTGATGTCATTTGAGTCTAAAGTTTATTAAATTGTCTAAAATTACACTGAAAGTATTTTTTTGTTTAAATTTGAATGATTTTAGAGAATAATCTTAGTGTTTTCTGTATATTTTTCCTCTATGAAGTTGTTTTAATTAATTCTCAGAGTTTCATCTTTGCCTTTTCTAACAATTCTACCTTTGGAGAAAACTGGAACATCTCTAAAAGCTTTCATCTAACTTTCATGTAATGCTCAACGTTCACCAGCAGATGGCAGTGACACTCTGCACACAAACACACTTCACCAGAGCTTCAGTCGATTTCAAGGCTGGGATGCAGCATCAGTGGGAAAAGCAAACATCAGAGGGAATCACAACAGACCAAAAAAAAGAGAGAGAAAGAAGTTGGATCCTGGCCAGGATTGCCAATGTCAACAGAAGCAGAGCGATCACTATCACTTCAGGAAGTGCCTCCACACAATAGCAACCATGGCAACGGCTCCAGTCAAACAGGGAACTTGACAATGGCGAGCAACACAACAGCAGGTCCTCCCTCTGTTCCCATCTATGTGCCCTCCGTTGGTGAAAGCAAAGCCTGAGCGCTAAATCAGCGGGTCCATTTGGTGGAGCAGAATAACCTGATGACTTTTGTTTCTCACTCGACCGCAGCCAGGGCTCAACCAGCTGCATGAAAGGGTTATAAAAATGCATCATTCCTTATTCCTCCTCTCATCCCAACAGGTCGGACACTCAGAGGACCTGAAGGCTTGATGCGCAGGTAAACCCGGCTGGCACTAAACAGCAGGCTTTAATAAAGCCACGACACCAAAACTGCAAGAAGCAACATCAACAGCAGTGATTTTTCAGCCCTTCATTAATTAAAACGGCCTTTAGAGGACTGTGCTCTCACCACAATTAAAAATAAGAGTTCAAGCTGTTATAAAAATCTGTAATTAAAGCACAATATCCCATTAACAAAACACAATTACACATTTAGGTGCCTGACGTACAAAACTAAAAGATTAAACTACATTTGGATTAGCTCCAGTGGAAAAACAACAAACAAATTGAAATAAGAAGCACTAAATCACCCTGATACCCCACTGCGATTACAATAACCTACAGAAGACAACAAGATATATTAATGAGACAATTTATTAAATCACAGATGCATAAATTAATGCAAATGTTTCATGAACGTTAAAACAGAACCTGTGCAGGGAGGGGTGAAACCCTTCGGATGCAGACGAGCAACTCAGATTTTACAGAAAGCTGTTAGAAAAGTCTAAATGAAAATAAATGACAGGATCAGAAACTGCACATGAATGTTTATGTTTATTTATTTAACAGATGCTTTTAGTCAAAGCAGCTTACAATGAGGAGCCTATTTATTCCACGATGAAACGAAAACATCTAAACACGTCGTCTATATAAGTTACTACAAGCGTGACTGGATGGGTTTCGGTTCAAAGCAGTGTGGACAAATGGAAATGTATACACTCGAGCAGCAAAAACCTGAAACCAGGTCCTGGGATTTGCTTGCTAATCTGAAACATTTCAGTTCCTTTGCAGCGCTGTCAACTGTGACAGCAGCATGAAGATGCTGAGGGACAGCATGGGGGATCATTTTGTTCAGGACACAATATCCTCTTCTTCACTGAACACCAAAGAGGCAACATACATGAATCAGTTACGTTTGAGTACAAAGAGTTTACGTGGCAGATCGTGAAAAAGGAGTTCAACACGATGGCTGTACCGTGTTGTATGGAGAGATTTCAAAGTGTTTTCAGAGTTTTGATTCACAGAAAACGTGTAATATTTGTTTCTTCTGGCAATACGATTGGTCACTCTGATTCGTTTATCCGTGGTGAACGTGAAAATAGTCAACTCTCAAAGCCAGTCACAAATAACCCTAGCATTCATGGCCCCGCCCACCCTGGCTCGCGACTGCGTCATGGCCAAGTGGCAAAGTCCTAGCCTAGCGAACTAGGCCAAATTCTTGCTTTGCAAAGTTTAAATAATACATTTATTTAGTCTGGCTTGCCAGGCTAGCAAAGTCCACCTGTCAATGTGAATATTGCAGTTCCCGGCTCATCCACTGGGGGATGGATCCAGAAAGCAGGAAAATCCCATCCGTGTTAAAAATTTTCCAGCAGAAATAAACATGTTTACAGGCTGGTTCAAAGAAAACTTTTAGGTTTATTAAGTCAAGTTTACCATCATGACAACTCTGAGGAAAGGTGCATTTTTTTCTAACTCATCCATTTAGATGTAATTAAAGTTCAAAATTCTGTCCTTTTGATTGACAGGTGTCCGATAACCCATCAGCGCTAGCAGCTTTGCCCTCCTGCTTGCTCCAGGGAAGGCCTCAGCGTCACATCACACGTGTTACAGCCTAGAAGGCAGAGGGTAGCAGAGTTGCTCAACCACGGTTTTCTGGCTAAAAGTACCCGCCAACCTCCGTTAGTCTCAGAGACTGTTGGGTATTAATCATCTGCCTCCACCCTCACAGCCCCGCTCTCAGCTCTAGTCTTGTATTTTCCAGAAGTGACGAGAGATGTTATGTGGCCAAGATGGCGGTGGTGGGAGCCGACTTCAATTCAGGTCTTCAGAAACCTACGGGTGATGGCGCAAAGGGTTTGTCCCTACCAGAAGCTAACCATTAGCATTAGAAACTCCAAAACATGGCAGAAAAGGTTCTGGTTTGTGTCATTTGTAGACATAAAATACCAGCGTTACATTTTTGAACCAATAAAAACAAGTGAAGTACGGCAACAGATGAGTCATGTTGCTGTTGGCCAATCAGAGGTTGGATGTTAGATGATCATGAATATTAATGAGTAAGTCTTGTAATCTTGTTGTTTAATTTGGATGACAAGTTTGTTTACATTTGTTCAGGCACACACAAACGCTGAAAATACCAGGGGCTGCTTAATTACCCTACGCAGCAAAACAGTTAGATTTACCCACCACCACTAAAAGACTGGAGAGCAACTGATTACTGTAGCGAGGGAAAACCTGATCAACTCACAGGATTCAAAACTACGTATGTGGAAGGGTTAGTCAGTACAATCTAGTGGGAGGCATTTCAAAGAACTACATGAAAACCTGGCATTCACAACCCTGTTAGTTAGCCACGTGACAGCGATCAAAGGCGACATGCAGTTACGTCAGAAAAACACAAACAATGCTCACCGCCATATCCTCATTAGCACCAAGCCGGGCTTTGATGATGCACAAGTGTCATATTACACAGGTTGCATTCTCTCTCCGATATCCCTCAGTGTTGCCTGCAGGGTTTCTGCCCTCTTTATTAATTAATGAGTCATGCTGTGAGCATTTGCTTTCTTCACGAAAATAGCCTCGATAACACAAAAAGCCTAATGGCTGATCATTTATCACATGTGAAACACTTTGAGACATGAGCGCTGCCAGAAACAGAATTAGGTATACATTAGATGAGAAAGCCAAAACGATTTTCACTGCACTACAAAGGTGGAATGGGGGGCGTTTATCTTGCTGTTCAAGCAAGCCACTTCTTAAAATTACACAATACAAAGGTCCAACCCCTTTCCTCACCCCCACCACAAGCCACGCCTCCAGAATACACAAACTCATAATTCTCGTTCCAGAGCGTTCAGTTTCACATTTTTCATCGGTTGTTGGTCCATATTCAACTATAGATCCATACATAATGCACCTACGTGACAGGATAACAAATTAGCATGCTAGCCGATATAGTGTGGCGTTTTATTTTTTGGGGTGAAAAATGTGTTTTTAGCTTTCTTAGTTTATTCTTAACTTCAAAATAACAGCAGCTCAGTGCCACCAACAATCTGGGAAAAGCCTAACAAGTCAAAACATCCAGAGCCGTCCCTAACCTCTTCTCACTCGCTCCTTGGCTCCTAACGCACGCACGCACGCACGCACGCACGCACGCACACACACACACACACACACACACACACACACACACACACACACACGTTCCTAAGACAAAAAACTGACTGACAGCTCTAGCAACTGACAAAGATTAGTAATGATGTAAGAAAGTATCGATACAGTGAAATATTGCAATATTTAGTGTTGTGATACTGGATTGAGATTTAAAAGCAGTGTTTTTATTTTTATTTTTAGAAGTTATATTTAAAGTGACAATGTGCTAGCATCTTTGGGGGGCGCCGTGTTTCCTTCTGGCCGGCTCGGGGCCCTGTGCCTGCTGATGACGTCACACTAGATGATTGGCTAGACGAACGACCAACGGAAGTTATGTTATCACATTCAAAACATTTAGGTAGTAAGAAACACTAATTTAATAACACAACTGCTAAACTCTTTCCAACACCTATGTGAAAGAGCAAATATATTTTGGCCGAGCAGTATTGCCGTAGTTTGGCGCAGGACCCTGAGCAGATTTGTAAACGACAACACCAGAAAACTAGCATTGGCATTGCATTGTCTTGATGGAATTAACTGGACCATCAAAGTCTGAGGAGTCACGCATGCTTTCTGCTCCAGAGGTGACAACATTTACCGAAATGTTTATTAAACTAGCAACAGTCAGGACAACATGGTGTAAAACTACCCTGAAAAGTATACTGCCCCCTATCGCCAGCTAATTACACACTGCCACTTTAAATGAAACTAGGGACTGACGAACCAAACAGAACATTCAGTTCTTTTACACTAGCTAGCCTCGCTCTGGCTTTATTTCCTGGTTAGCGGAGAACACACAGTTTCTGCACATAGAGAGCAATGCACGGAGGAGGGAGGGACAGTCATTGTAGCAGTTTGATGGATGGATCAGGATCCAATCATTAAGAGCGGGACGTTCACCATGATTGTACATTTCATTAATAGTACTCCTACAAAACATTTTATTTATTGGTTACCATCTGTATATGAAATGCATTTCGAGCACTATTTCAAAAAGAGTTGCTCCAAAAAACATCATCCTTTCCACCTTTAACATGATCCTAACTGTACCTGTATAAACAACCT